TAGTGCTCTTCTTCTCCATAATGGATCTCCTTCCAGAAATTCCTAAACCAAATTCGTACTTCACTTGGACTTCCACAAGGTTTTGCATTCTTAAATACTACTAAAAACCGCTTCCAGTAGGACTTGAACCAAAAACCTTGGCTGTGGAGGGTAGGCGCTTAGACTACTAAGCTATAGGGCCCTACCCCTTATCCAAAATTTTCTGCATTAAATATGCTTATTATCCTTATTGTACCGAAAATTGAGAATAGATAGAAGATGGTATTTCTAACTTTGTAAACTTAGTAAAATACCCGTTTTATTGTAATGTGTTCGATTCGCCACTTTACCCAAATTCACATTATAGTGTGACATTATCGTTATAGCGATATTAAAATAGTACGTAACATTTCTTATAATATCGATATTGTATCATCATGTTTAATTCGTGTTCAAACTATACGTATTATATACGTATTAAAGAAAATTTATAGAGCTGCTTTTTTTGTAATACCGATACGTGCTCAAGATATTTAAAAATCTTTAAAATATTGTAGATTTTTATTTTTACATATTTTACCAGTGAATATTAAATTTAATATTAACTATATATTTCGTAAAAAGTAAATTCTGTCATAATAGCATTATTTAGTAACCAAATACGTACGTATAGCGATAGTGAGACCGGCTTTACTTATTTGTGCCAGTAATACAAACTCCTAAAAAGGAAATAACCAATCAGTAAGTTCGAATTTGATTGTTCCGGATCAGCCCGATATAAATTCCGAACACGTGCGAAAGAAGAAAAAAGCGAAAATACTCAAAAACTAGTGTTTAAATCGACCTAAATTCACTAATTAAAAATGTCGGGAACGAAATTTTACATATAATGAGCAATAGTCTATGGCTATAGCTTCTAGCGATAACTTCCTAACCCTAAATTTGTGTTTTTACGCACTTTGTTTATTTACAAACTAAATTTCCTTTTTTGGGTTGTATTACTGGCACAAATAAGTAAAGCCTAGTGAGACCTCCCTAAACTAAATGTAGCCTTTAATTCTGGCCAAAATATAAATTTTCTTATTATTCACTAAATACAAACTATCAAAGTCTGGTCCTTAAGAATTGCACTTAGAAGATTTTATTTTAAAATAAATATAGTTGGCAAGCACTGAGCAAAGTTAGACGATAGCAGTAAACACTACTACGAACTTTGTCCGATTTATATGTAGCGATAATAAATTATTAAGGTAGGTATTGTGGCGAATGCGGGTATTGTAATAAATTAGCACCGGGGAGTAACATAGTCATGCCACAAAAATTTGTCGGTGATGTAATATCCGAGCTAATCGGATCAGGGTGCTAGTATTGATTTTAACATCAACAGTAGAATCTACAGTAGAATCTACTGTTGATGTTAAAATCGATACTAGCTCCCTGATCCGATTAGCTCGGATATTACATCACCGACAAATTTTTGTGGCATGACTATGTTACTCAGCACCGGGTACGTACGTACGTACGTACTGTACGCAGGTATCTCATAATCTAATGGGCGAGATCACGCCATTTTCCATCATTCAACCAATCTTAATGTGACCGTCGTAGGTTATTTGTGTCATAACAAAGGTTGACATGACTTTAATATGTATATAATAAAAAATTTTATGACCTATCGCTATGACCAAAAAGTCATGATTATGTGTGTTATAACTTTAGTCACCGGACAACACTCAAGATATCGATACAGTATCGGTATCGATATAGCGATGGAAGAGTTAGCTAAAATATTTTATTTATTTCTATAGGTTTTTTGCACAAGATTCAGACCAGATTAATTGTCCACGATATAACATGTTCAAGCCGGATCAGTTAGTTTTTAGCCTTTTTGATTAGGTTAATAAATTACCATAACGATATAATTTAATATAAGTTTCTATAAATCATCACAATTTTATTAATAATTTAATGTTTGATGGATTATTATATAACTTAAAAATACTTGTAATAGCGGAGATAAATGTTTGATGTATCATTGTAATAATAATTTTACCATTCATACATTAAAAGTCATAGGAAAATGCGTAATTCAACCAATCCAGGTTGGATCAGTTCAGGAATAAAATTATACTACTATTTTGCATTAATTAATCTTTCAAATCATATGAAAAGATATCATTGTAGGTTATTATGCTTTTAGGATAGTTAATCGATAGGAAAGGCTTTAGCAACTTTAAGGGTTTAGCAAAAATTGATCGCACGCTTTATCCAAATCAAATTTCAAGTAAATCAAGTCAAAAAAAAAAAACAATTCTCACCATTTTCAAGAATAAAACAAGAACATGTGAGAATATTTACCAATATTTACAATCTAACTAAATCAGTGTAACACTTACATGCGAATTTTTATTTCAGGTTATAAGAAGCCTGCTTACCTTTCAGGAATAACATATGATTTTAACTTAGTTATTGTTCTGTGAAATAAATCACGGTGTGCACACAATGCCAAGTAATTCATCGAAAAAAGATTTATATATGACCTGTATTTGCAGATATAACGAGTATATTTAACTCGACATTATTGATAAACAAGTACATCAAAGGAATTAAAAGTTTAGATCTTTCGCTTCTACGGTAATTCAAAAATCATCAATTTTTTAAAAATTTTTTGATCTTATATAAATGAATGTTTTTGCATCGTAGATATTAAAATCTGCACAATTTATGCATCTTACATAATACTTCTAGAAGGTCACCGTTGAAAATAATAATTAGATCAGGGTAATATAAATTGTGGGAATCTTAATTCCTGTTTCAATTACACATTTTTTAAGAAATTATTATAATAACCGGATTTTAAGTTTGATCGCCCTTCGGAAAATTCTTTCACTTACCAGGGTAGGGAAAAAAAAAAAAGTCATTATAACAATCTGGCTGATTTCAATTGTTTTAACACTTATCCATCAATCAATATAAAAGCATCTCATCTTTTTGATTATGAATCAAATACTTCAGTGTTGCAGTTAATAATAATAATTGCGATAACACCAATAATAGTTAATAAAAAATAAAAACAAAAAAACAAAAAAAAACCAATTATATAAAAAAAACAAATTATAAATTAAAAATTATAAAAAAAATTAAAAATTTAAATGGGTTTAGGTATTTCAAAAGAAGCTCAGCCTTCACCATTTATCGTCGGTTATCCACACATGAATGAGAAATCAAATTTGCCTCGTTTAACGACTACTTCAGTCTATGATGACATTGACAATCCATCAATTTCGATGCCATTAACGTCCACCAAAATTCAAAAACTTATTCAAGAAGCTGAACAAAAACTTGAAAAGCAAGACGCGCAAGAATATTCTCAATCTATAATTTTATTAGAGCAAGCAACTATTCTGGGCTCAGTGTATGCAGCAGCGAAACTAGGAGCACTTTATCTTAATCCACAAAATACTTTAATGGCATCGAATTACCTTCAAGCAGCTGGTTATTATTCAATCGCTTTAAAACTTATGTTCATGATCCCTTGCAAATGGTGGGATTTAAAATTACTTCTTGATATAATTTCAGGATGGTACGAATTAATTCGTTCACGATTTGATCGTCAAAGAGATTCATATACTTGGAATCACGGAATTAAGCTTATGAAACAAATTGATAAAAAAATGCAAGAACCGGATTTGATTGAAGTTTTAACACACCAAGATAATGAAAAATGGCGCGCTATTAGAGTTCATATGGTATTTTGTTATGCGTTGACAGCAGAGGTTGATAATGACTATCCTTTAGCATTAAAATTATATCAGGAGACGGAACGGGTAGGATCTTGCGGATTTCTCTCGGCGGAAAAGTTGATGAAAAAAGCTCACACTAAATATAGATTGCTTGAATCTAGGGTGCCGAGAGTACAACCGGTTTGTGTTCAGTGTGGCTTCGAGGCGAAAGAATTGACGGAAATTTGGAGGTTACTGGTTTGCTCAAAGTGTCAAAATGTCGCTTGTTGCAATAGAAATTGCTTAGCAAAACATCTTAAATATCATCATAAATGTATTACGAATTAGAAAAAAAAAATTTTTTTACATTTTTTGTAGTTTAAATATTTGTCTGATTCTATTTCTTTAATAAATTTATTTGATTAAAAATTTGCCAATGTTAACAATATAAAACAAAACTTCTCAACGCTGATAATATATTTTCAAAATCTAGATTACAAAGTCCATGCAAAAAAAAAAAAAAGACAATCATATTAGGTATCTCTGGTCGTAACATTTACAATTTCACAAAACTTTATAGTTTTTTTTTTTTTTTTTTTTTTTTTTTTTTTAACACTAAATTCTCGAAAGTACAAATAATGTTAGTCATGTTTTAAATTTATCTTTTTTCTTCAACCATCATAGAAGCATTTTACTCTAAATGCGTTATACGCTTGTATATGAATGCCGCCAAAAGAAAAGTAGCACATCTAAATATAGAATATTTTTTATGCGAACTTTCGTACAGCTCGGAAAAATTCGATTTTTAATAACGATAGCATGTATTTTTATTAATAATTTTGAAAATCGCATCTCTGCTCTATAATTGGTGTTTCTTGCTGGAAACTCTCGTTTCATGCAACTCTCGTATAGTTCATGCGTCTAATCCAAAAAATCAGTTATTGTTATGCCGATATCAACGTTAAAAGCAACTACTATATCAAATACACCATCACATATCTATGTATAAAATTCAGGGTAATGATAAGCAAAGTTTATAATCGTTCCTATATAATTATAAATTAAAAACCTTTTGTATAAAAAAAAATAATAACGATAATAATAAAAAAAAGCTTATACGTATACAAGCCCATTCGGGGTTGGCAAAATCGACTAGTCCTAATCGGTTTGCAATATCAAGATCTGGGTACACTTGTATTACGCCCATGTAATTAACATATTATCTGTTAGAAATGAGAGAAATGATCTATGGATTTGGATATACCGATTTAAATGGGGTACAATATTAACGTTAACGGATATTTTATTTATGAATTTTTATTAAAATTTAAAATTTAATTAATTTAATTAAATTACGACATCCCAGAAAAAAAAAATCATAGCTTCGATATTTCATTGCTCGGCTCGGAATTCTCGGGAATTCTCCAGTAAGACACTATTCTAATGTTAGTAACTCAATTGTGCCGTAATTGTCCGAATAATAATGTTAATACTGTATGTATAACCATATAAATAACAAATAAGGTAAAGTGACTACGTACTGGGCTTTAAACACAATGTGGTAGGCACAATGTTTCTCTATTAGAAGATTAGATTATTCAATTAACTGGCATCAAGCAAACGGTGTAACGATAAGATCATAGATGTGAATCCTGTTAGTATAAAATAATTAGGTAGTGATCTGCCTCAATAAGGTTTGCTTCATAATATTAAATATGATATCGGTTGTTGCTGTTTTCCCACCAGAAGACGACCTGTGATGCCATCTTCTTTCAGGCGATGCCATCTGCTACCAGGTGGTGTCCATCTGACATCAGATGGTGTCTTTCTCGGTTACACATTTTACTTTCGGGGTTAATGTTTTTGGAATATATGCTTAATATGAACTCAAGATAAATACCTGGCGTTGAATAATATCATTGTCTGAATGTATCATTGGGCAGATGCTTTACTCATTTTACTCAACATCAATGGCTGAGTTTTAATCCGAGATTATCATGCTATTTGTACATAATATTGTATCATAAAAAAATAATAACAAATTACTGTATACATAAATAAAATAAATAAATAAAATTCTTTACACGTAGTTTATACATATATACAGATATTGTATATTGTATATATAACCCAATTTTATAAATAAAAATTGGTATTATTGTGTATTAAAGATTATATCAGATTTATGATTTACTATATGGGGGTGAGTCAGTAGAAACGCACCAAATTTTTTCTAAGTAAATTTTTTTAAATCTTTGAACAAAAAAATAACTCAACAATAATTTAAGCAAATTTAATAAATTTTTTTTTAAATTAATTCTATATACTTGTAGAATTTATTTTTAAAAAAATTGTATTAAATTTAGTTAAGCTTTTGTTGAGTTATTTTTGTTTAAAGATTCAAAAATATTTCATTAAAAAAGATTTGGTGCATTTACCCCATATACTGCTAAAATTTAAAATAAGCTGCTACTGAATTTAGCTTATCTCCAATGTTTTAGTTGATCTTTATTTTATATAAAGTGATTGAGGTAGGAATGTGAAAAGTCTGATCTAGTATTGACTTTAAAGTCATATCTTTATTAATGTTCAGTCTCAAGCAGACTTTGGACTTCAACTCACATATGCATATGCATTTAGTAGTATATTTAGATATAGCATAAAAATGTGTATTCATGTATACTTTGTATACATTCACATTTTCTAAATATACTAAATGCATATATATATGCAAGTAAAAATCTTAAGTTTGCTTGTGATTAAACATCAACAAAGACTCAACTTTTGAAGTTGAGTCAGGACAGGACCAGATTTTTCATATCCCTAGATTTAAGTTTCTTACACTATATATATTTTTTTATCATATTGTTTTTATACAAAGAAATTAGAAGTTTTAGAATTTTTACTTTATCAAAATTGATAAATCGAGCTACTGGTTATGTATTATCTATATAAGGCTTTTAAATTTTTCTGCACCATATATATGATATACATATTAGTAATTCGATTGATTACTTGAACCTATGATTAACCAAATTTGTAACACTAGAACACTCGAAATAAAATTAAACTAGACTTCACATTATTTAGAGTTTTTTTCTAATCATAATACCAAATGAAGTTATCAAAAAAAACTACAGTTTGGAATTTTAAATATATTTTTTGGTGAATACAATCAATGTAATTTATTAAGAACTATGTTTGATAAGAAATATATTTAAAATTTTGTCTGTGATATTTTCTTGGCAATATAGAAATATTTTAAAGATACAACTAATGCTTATATTGTAAGTAATTTTGATAAAAAAAATAGTTAAGCTTATAATAAAATTTTGTTTAACTTTTTTATATTGAAAATTTATTAATAATCTTTTTATATTGAGTATATTTACTTATTATAAATTGGTTTTAGATTAACTTTTTTATATCAAAAGTTTAATTTAATTTTTTTTATAAATATTTAATAAATATCATAGGACTAAAATACAAAAATCTTAAAGAGTGTGGCAACTTAGTGTAGTTGGTAAGTTGTTGCATCCCTAAGCGATAGAACAAGAGTTCAAATTCTACTGGCGATGAAAATTTGAATTTGCAGAAATGCGTTATAGTAAACTGTATAATATATCGATCAGGTCAGCACCTGTAATCTTGGTCTCATCAACTCGTATTAGGAAGTTGTGGAATTTAGTGTAATGCATGAGTTATATTGTTACAAAGTAGATTTTTAGTATAGATTTTATTAAACATTATTTAGTTATTTTTAGTTATTATTATTCA